GAATTTTCCATCCGGGTTCCTCAAAGGAAACCATCGTAATGCTTTTATAAATAATGAAAGCATTTCATTTTAGAAGTACTTAAAATACAATTACTTCGTTTACTTTTAGAGGCTTCATCAAAGTAGGTTTTCAGCCCACACGCTTCAGAGCAGGTGTCTGTAATTAAATGTGGTCCTCTCACCTGATTGATTTCCCGGGTTTTGGAGGGCTCTTTGTTTGAGAGCACTAACTCGCTACGCATTCATAAGGAAGATATTACCGCCAAGTTGCACGAAGCCCTCTGAGAAAGTCATCAGTGCTATAAACTACTGACCTTACCCTAAACCCATCTGCTTGCAGGCCAGCTGACTCAACGTCTCCTGCCAGCCATCCGCACACACGTGGTATTCCGTGGCAGCTCTGTGAACAGTCAGGAAGGAAGAGGAGTTTGAAGTTGTGGAAAGCGTCACTGGGAAAAGAAAAGGAGGAAAACCCTAATTAAAAACAGTTCTTTCCGTGAAACCAAAGGATAACTGCTTTATTTGCATTCATTCATTTTTATTTATATGGGTTAAGAATCTTTTGGTGAATACCTACCCTGTGTAAATCACTGCTCTCTGTGTGAAAAATTAGAAATGCTCTCTCCCTTTAAAGAACTTAGACTCGAGTGAAAGAGACAGTTCTTAACTTTTCTTTATGAATGAGAGGACAGCCAGAGGCAGGCCCCTTCCCATGAGTTTTACCCAGGGATTTGCATAATTACAAGGAGTGAGTTGTAACTCCGTTTATATCATTGCCATTAGAGAAAGCATATGAGAACGCAAGTGTGTGAGAGGGATGCTAATTTAGGATTAATTTGGTATCTGCGCTAATTCCTATTTTATAAAGGAGCATCCTCTGTACTTAATCAGTTTCGGATCATTGATGAAACACTGCAAAACTGATCACAACACACGTGAGAATCATAATTTGGCCAGATGACGCGAAAGACTAAAATAAGAGCGGAGTGAATGGACGGAGTGATGAGTGTGAGATGAGGGAATTCATCAGACTCGAGATCACGAACAACATCATTGGAGTGACCGGTGGGAGATGCCTTTGAGTCCTAACCAGTAAGGAACTAGATGGTTAGACATCCCATCTGGATCCGGAGCAAGAGTATAGGGAAGATGGAGGGGCCACTTTCCTATCCTCTTCTGGGAGGCGTAGATAATAAAAGAATGACAGAATCTTCATCATTATTGATGTAATAATAAAGAGTTTCCAGCAATTACATGATTACAAAAATTTGAACCCAAATGTTTTTATATATAATATAGACATTTCAAATAGAGAAGTAATTCAGGGAGAGATTTTCTATGAGTTAGAAAGAACATACACGAACCACCACTATCGGCTTTTATAACAGTGAAACAAAATAGAGGAACTTGGTTGGTAAAATCTGTGAGGTCACTTGAGATTCATTCAGCTCCCAGGGCTGGCAGGCACACGGGGGGCCGACACACGGCAGAAACAAGGGGCTCACCGCAGTCCCACTCGTCCGAGCTGTCTGGGCAGTCCGCCACTCCGTCGCACCACAGGTCCCGCGACACGCACGCGTGGTTTGCACATTCCAGTTCGTCGTCTTGGCAAAATGCTGGTACAGAGAACAAGTGGGAAGACTGAATCATTTGGACATCAATACGATTGTCACCAACACGCACATTCAAATTTGGCAGCAGGAGCACGGAAGGAAGGAAGTACATCGTTGCTGAGGCCGCTAAATGAGTATTAAGGCAGAATCACAGAATTTGTAACATCTCATTTAACAGGTGTCAATCTATACAAAGAGCATTTAAACAGAATCACTAGCTTCCAGTGACTAGATTCTCTAACAATCAGGTTGAAAAAGCGGTACTCATAGCAACAGAAATATTAAAAATTAAAGAACAGGGTAAAATGTGCATGAGCAAAGCACAAAGGATGAACAGCCTAAAGCCACCATAAAAAGAAAACAAGCTCTGTCCACATAGATGGGTAATGTTTATTTTTTTTAAATCTCTACTGTTAAATTACTCTCTCTGGGTCATACATAATGCTTTGGAATGCTTTTTTAAGAATTATAGTGAACCTCCTTGATTGCCTACTTAATATCCATTTCCTTTCTTCTTCCTTAAGAGAACCTCATCTTGTTCAGGCTTCCCCATCTGCCATCCCCAGTGCCAGAGGAAGACCCTGATTAGTTTAATCTGGCCATGGCATTGTTCAGACTACGCTTTTCTTTCTGAGTACAATGAGTAGTCTGGGAATAAGCATGTACTGTAAGATCAGGGCCTTGGGCTATGGTTTTGTAGGTTGGACTTTGCAAGATTGCTCCTGCCCAGACTCTCCTGGCCAATGCCATGTGCCCTAGCCTGGGACAGGAGCAGCCTGGGACAGGAGCAGCCTGGAGGAAACAGCATCTTTTTCTAATTGAGTCTCCCTGCATGGTGCTTCTTTTTGCAATTCAGCTATTTGTAGGGGGTGTATTTTCTCATCTACACAAAGGCTCCCGACTGCTAGCTAGCTGTGACTCTACCCAAAGTTGTACCGAGTGAATCCTTTAGTGACGTCTTAGAGATAAGGGCAAGTTCTCTTTTCTTCCCACTGGATGTGATCTAGGAAATGTGGTCCAGGAGCTCTTGGCTCATCTTTGACCATGGCGGGAGCCAGCCTGAGATGAAGTCATACTAAAAGAATCACAGCCACGGTGAACTCCTGCGTAAGCCTCAGGAATCCACCGGATGCTTGATTTGTTATATGATGATATGAAACATATGTGATATGTATGATAATAAAAGATATATGTCTTCACTGTTTATCAGATTGAGTTCGGCTTTCTGTTACTTGTAGGTAAAACATCTCAAGAGACATAATTTTTTTCTGGTTCCGAAAGTAATGGCCATTCATTTAGAAAATGTAGGAAAGATAGAAAAGCACAAAAATTTAATAATTTCATCACCCAGAGATCATTGTAAACTTTTATTATGACTATCCGATCTTTTCTGTATGTGGCTATACACGTACTTTCAAAACTCAGGACTATAGTGCATGTAATACCATATATTTTGTTTTAGTAAACTAATGAGGTATAATGCACCTAGGAGAAGCTATTCTTCTCTGATTTTAATGTTTGCATATTATTTTTATCTTATCACTGCATTTTATGTCTCCTGTTTTTGGGTATTTGAAGTGTTTCAATTTTCCCATGTTATAAATAATGCTAGAATAATATAGTACATATATTTTATACACATTCGATTATCTTCTTGGCATATATCTCTAAAAGTGGAATTTTGGTCAAAAGATCTGGATATATTAAAAGTTTTTGATACATATTTAGAAATTTTAAGCTTGTATTCAAAATGAGGGGCAACTGGTGTTTAAAAATGTTACATTGACAATTCCCGTCTGCACTTACAGCAGTTTTTTTCATCCATGTTATCAGGACAGTCTGGGAACCCATCACAGATCACTGTGTGCTTCAGACATTGTTTATTGGATGGACATTCCCAAAGATCTCTCTCTTCACAACCTGGAGACAGAAGAAAAGCTTATTTGCAACAGATGTGGAGTTGAAAATGATGATGAATTTGATCAAGTAATGTAGAAAAATTACAATATAAAGGCACGATTTCTTTTTTTCTTAAAGAGTTTTGACTCCCGTATACCATGAATAATGGAATTTTGAAAGTAGAAATACCCAGTAATCTACATATTGTGATATAAAGAGTACAGCTCTTCTAACGGAAGATCAAAAGTGACTTACGGGAAATTGGAAAAAATGAAAATGCAAGCATACATTAACATTCACCTTTAGCTGTTTCTTTTGCTTTCTGAGTCAATTTGCCAACACAGAAGACTTATCTACAAAAGGATGAGTTATGCTTTTAAGCAAATATGCCTAAACCGAGTGATCGAAATGTATATTATCTTAAAATGTAATTTCATTCAACAAATTGAGAGGCCATCTGTATGTTTAGCAAAAGAGGCTCCTCTTTATGCCAAACACCTACAACACTAGCTTATGAGCCAGCTGTGAAAGTCATCGCTTTATGGTAGTCAGAGATCCAAAGTTGGAAACTTTATCAGTTAATACAGAAAATGAATATAATAGGCACAAGATCAGGGCAATGAAGTCCACAACTGGAACTGTAATTTGCCTGTGAAATAGCAAGCACTTGTGATGTGCCTAATAAAGGCCATTCGATTCAAGTGCAGTACATTTCACATGTCTTCTGCTAAAGCCTGCCAAGCATCTAATGTGTTTCTGTCCCTCCCGTCAGGTCCCTGGCTCTGGCCAGGCTGCGAGGTGCATGAAGGAAGAGACCATGTGCCACACAACCTCGAGTACTCTTCACCCCCCAGCCTAGAACAGCAACCAGCACAAGACAGCACAACACACGTGTATTTAAGTGGAATTTCACTTAATGCAAGGAACAAAATGTTTCTGGCTCCCAGGAAAAGATAACTCATTTTAAGGTGAGTGAAATGCAAAGCAGTGATCAAATAAGATGTTTCTTTAAAAATGTCTTTCTCATCTGACCTAGTACATATAATTCCAAGAAATTTTGTATGTGAGTCACTCAGGCTTCTCGGAATCCAGTATGAGAAAAAAAAAAAATCTGTTCTTTTCGAAATTCTCATTGAAAACAATTATCTAAATAAGTCACCAGAAAATAAAATTTTACTATGAGCTAAAATTAGCTTTAGTGTATTTCATCCTCCAAAGATGCAGGAAAGTAGTGAGACTCTGTCCCTGGCTGTTCATCTGGAGTAGGTCTTAGGCCCAGGGACATCTATTCTAGGAACTCATAGGGATGGCGTTGGAGTTTTCAGCTAGCAGAGGATACGGATGGCATCTGGAATGTTCTGACAATGACAGTCTTTGGAGACTTGAGGAGGAGACTGAAGTCTGCCCTCTGTGACCCAGCTGCTGTCACGTGACACAGTTTGCTCCTTCCACCAGACAGCAAAGGGAATCGAGAAAGAGGCTTAGCATTCCTCGGTGCCTGCCCTGCTCCAGGGATGCTGCTCTCCTCACAAAACACACCACTTGCTAGTAGCGGATGAAAGGAAACAGCACGAGTCTTTCTGATTATTCCGACGTACCCTTCCCTAAGAGAATGGGAGAGAACTTGGCCATTTGGAATGAGCTGATAAACAACCACAGAAATAGATCCTCTGGAACGTAAGGCCTTCTAAACTGCATCCTCACAAATAACAACAATGATAATAATAAAAGATGACGTGCATGATCCGCTATATATATCCATATTCTAGACGTCGGTCTTAATTCTTACAATAACATCATGATGTCAGTATTATGCTCACCATTTTATAAGTGCAGAAACTAACGTTTACAGAAATTAAATAAACTTCTCCAAATAACAGCTCTACAAAGAAAGATCTGGATGGGATCCAGGTACAAGTCCTTAATTGCAAGCCTTATGCAGTATGCATATGCCCCCTTATGCAGTATGCATAAGGGGCAGGAGTAGTGGAAGCTAGAGTCAGACAACTGGATTTGAATCCCAGCTCCAAATCTCACTAGCTGCGTGACCTTGAGTATATCCTAAGGGGCTTTGACTCTAAGAAACAGCTCAGATTATATTTTAAAGGTTTTTATTTACTTGAGCCCAGGAGGAGATCAAAGATAGATGACGAAGTGATTTTTTTTTAATCATTTGAAGATAAATAGAAAGGCTCTTAATGGCACTGGGGTGTTTGTATTGCTGTAAATCTTTCACCGTATGATGTATATATACCCTTTTACTTGGAATCGTGTTCAGTTAGCAATTATGACATTATGTTCATGTAATAATGGACTTTATTTTGACAGTAGATATAAAGCACCTGTTCTAGCTATATTTCCACCTAACTGCCTCAGTGAGACTTGTTTTTTTTGTAGCACAACCCAGGTACCTGCTGCTCTTAAAGTTCGTCCCAATGGTGGACACAAAGCCTGGCGAGAACTAACCTCAGCCTCACACACGCAACTCTGCAGTGCGACAGCTAAGCTCAAAAGTATAATCCCATTGCTCTTTTTCTTAGCTCTCCATTCTCTTCTGTCATTCTTGTTCATTTCTTTGCCTAGATCTTTGCCTTGTTCTCCACTACTTGGATACCCATGCTTGGAAAATTACGTTGAAAACAAACTCATGTATCAAGTTGCTAGTGTGACAGACAGCTCCATCTATGTAGCATATGTTCAGTTACTGACACACCATCGACCTTTAAGACAGTAAAGTCCTTCTGCACTGACGCAGTGCTGACTCTGCTAATCACGCTGCTGTCCCCTAGGTTTCCCTCCCATAAATCAACGCTATAGAATTGGTTCAATAGAGTGATGTGTTCAGGTTTGCATGATTCTTCCAAATGCTTGTTGAAAATATTTCTAATACTGGAAATGTTTTCAACTCTTGTTAACATTAGCAATTACACCATCAAAGCAACTTCAACAACAAAAATTTACCACAAAGAGCCGGAGACATTTAAGAACAATAGTGCTCCTCTACCCATGCGGGCAACACAGTGAGACTCTGTCTCAAAAAAAAAAAAAAAAAAAAAAAAAAAAAAAAAAAAAAAAAACAATAGTGCTCGATGCTACATTCTAATGCATATATTCTTAAAGTGTATTTATAAATTAAGCACTTTGGCTACCATGTTTTCCTGCTACAAAAGTGGCAAAGAAATAGCAAGTAAAGTTAATTTCTAACACGTCATTTATTTTCAACTAAACTAAATAAGTGTTGTTTTGAAGAGAAACTCAATAACATTGTTAGAAGTTCCGAGGGAACGGCAGATTCATTGCAACGAAGAATTAATTGTCACATTTTTCAGTAAAGTCCAAACATTTAAATGCTTTCAATAGCACAATGGACAAAACAAATTGGAAAGACATGAAGCTGGGGTAAAACCCAGTTTCAGTGGAGCTGGCGTTTGCATTGCCAGATGCTGCGCCGACGTACACGCGAAAACGGAATGACAAACAGCAAGTAGGCAAAACGGGAATTGGATGACTTCCTGTCAGTCCCCTGTGTAGCCTTCATCAACCTGAATTCCTTATTTGATGTTAAGGGGTACGTCCTCCTGGAGCACTGGCCAAGCACAAATGCATGCGTACACCCCGAACGGGGAAGGTTTATAAAGTTTTCTATTATCGGTCACTTTGGAAAACTTAATAAGAGTTTTCTCATAAATTAATACTGTTGGAGCAACCGATTTAACTCCAAATGTATTAATTTCTTAATTTTAACTTTCCTTAACTAGAACTCTCAATAATGCTGTCAATATTTTGAGTGTTTGATAGAGATTAGATAATATATTCTATCATTCTGGTGTGCCTTAACTGTGTGATTAAAGTACTAACGAACACTCATTACTTAATCAGAAATCTGATATTTTAGGGTCATTTAAACCCTGTACTACGCTATAAGACTTCGGACTTCTTTTTGGCAAAATATGTTCTAGAACTCAGACTTTTCAATCTTGGTAAAGCTGTTTTTTTTTTTTAACTAAGCTTTTATATTTCTCAAATATTTAGTCCCCCACTGCAAATTTAGGTCTAACCACCCCCATAGAGTATCATGCAACCTCTTTGAACCATCAAAGAATAATCCATTTTAAATCACATCTCAGAATACCATAACCCATCAAAGTCATAGTTAAGTAAACAAATCTAATCTATTCTCAATAAATCACTTACATAAGGGATATTCAATGAGTTTATATTTAAGAAAAAAATCACAAACAAGAAAATAACAGTAGGTTCTCAAAACACTGTATGTTCCGTCATAACAAAATTATCCCTGGCCATTGTATCATTCTGACAGCTGTAATTTTCCAGAAGATGAACTTGTCCATATTTATAGTAGCTGATAGGATTTCAGTTGATTGCTTGTGACATTTTGTCTAGACCCGAAGGGCAATGTCTACCATAGAAAATTCATTTGGAGGAGCAAGGCAATATTTCATACCTCAAAGGCCAAAAAAAATGAAATGATTTCAAAAGATATATTGCCTTATGTGCCTTCAACGAAAAAAGTGTCAATTTTTTAAAAAGCTGGACAAGCTAAATAATCATAAACAAACTGTTCTTAACAATCATTTTGCTTTCCTCCAGGACATCATTAAAGAGCATTGTCTGATTTCTATTCCCTGATACTTTGAAGTTGCAAGTACAGAGGCTTACAAGGAAATAAAATGAGAATTAGCTCCACTTAAATTACCGTTGGCATTTCTGGCCTTTCCATTGGTGCTTTTGGAGCTCAACAGCAGAAATGTCGGGAAGAGTTTTATCCTTTCTCAATAGGGACAAAATATGAGAGGGCATGAAAATGAGTCCCAATTAAATTTAAATGTTAGAGTCAGAACTCTGTCTTTGTGTATTTAGATGTCTACTTAGCAGCATGGAAATCATATGCAAAGACACCATTATTCTGACTTTAAAACAGATAACAACTGCTTTATAATTTAGTAATGAAAATAGTTCTTTACATTTGTGAAGTGTTTTCCCTTTTCCGAAGCATTTGCACATACAGTAGTCCCCCTTTATCTGCGATTTTCCTTTCCATGGTTTCAGTTACCCACAGTCAAGCATGGTTCAAAAATAGGTGAGTACAGTACAATAAGATATTTTGAGAAGAGAGAGAGATCACATTCACATAACTTTTATTAAAGTATATTGATATAATTATTCTTTTATTATTATTGCTATTAATCTGTTGCTGTGCCTAATTTATAAATTACCGGGGGTATAGGAATACATCCCCCCTGGATAATGGGGGCAGGGTGCTACTCTATATACAGTATATATCGAGGTTATATATAGAAGTATAATTTAGGGGAAATCGAGAGTTAGGGAAACATTTATCAATGCATGCCTTACTGTTTGATAATTTAATCAGCCTGGGCAACAAAGCAAGACCCCGTCTCTACAAAAAAACAAATAGCCACATGTGGTGGCGTGTGTCAGTAGTCCCAGCTACTTGGGAGGTTGAACCAGGAGGATAGGTTGAACCCAGGAGCTGGGGTCACAGTGAGCTGTGATCACACCACTGCACTTGGAACAAAGCAAGACAACGATGACGACGACAGAGGAGGAGGAGGAGGAGGAGGAGGAGAAGTAATAGTAAAGGCACTGGCACTCGATCCTAGTCACTACTCACTACAGCCAGTGAACAGTCTGTATTTTTAACACAGTTTCTTATCCTAAGCTGTTATCACTGTACATTCAAGAAAAGCGCTATCGCACATACATACCGCAGTTTTCTTCATCGCTGTCATCGTCACAGTCAGCCTGGCCATCACATCTCCTGGAAGCCAGAACACACCGTCCGGAGCGGCACTTGAAGTGACTGGGTGAACATTCTGTTGAAAACAATATTACTCTCAATGGACAGAAAACCCAGAAACATCAGCTAATTTATCTATTTAAATGAGGCATGTTGCCGAGCAGCTTTCACTGAAGATAAGGATGGTCTTCATCAAAGAAAAGTGTACTTGGCTTTCTTCTGTCTGCCAATCTACATCTTTCTCTTTCATTCTTGGCATCATCTCCCCACATCAGCAGTTTAGTGTCTGTGCTTGCCAGCGATCAGTTATCTTTCCAAATGGACAACCCAACAGATGTCAGAGCCCGAAACGTCTTGTGGCGTCAATGCTCCTGACCGTGCAGCTGCCCTCAATGTGTCAAAATCACTCCCACATCCCAATCTTCCCACCTGCTGACAAGGTCTCCAATTCTGTCTCTCTACCTAATGATCCTGTCTTTCCACGGTCTCCAGATGTTTTGCACCTGAAGGAAACAAGGCTTGAAGTTCCCCATTACCTACAAGACCCCTACATAAAATTAGCATCCGATATAATGGGCTCTGTGAGTGGGGTACAGTTAAATTGAACAACACTTGGAATATTAAACTCATCTCTGAGTTTATTTATTTTTATGTTTTTAAAGATTTGTTTTTAAAATGATGACAGTGTCTCACAGATGTGCCAAATCCTTCAATGTCATCAGGTCCATAGACTCACCGACCTAGGTAGCCTGATGGGTGACTAAATAGATAACAAACACAAAGAAATGGAGAGACTTCAAAAGGTAACTGACATGTTCATCCATGTTAAATACCCCTATCATTAATTTAAAAATTAACCTTCCACATATTCATCAGGCATCAGGCAGGTTTGATTGTCTGAATTTTCCTCCGGAAATTGATTGCAATCTGTGTCTTCAGGCCACTGCAGGCCCACGATCCCAAGAACAGACTCGCAGCGTTCTTTAGAGTGCTCACACAGTGCTCTAGAAGAGAAAGATGAAAGGTTAGAAGCAGAAACAGCTCCGTCTGAGATGAACATTAGCAACGTGTGTGGGGTTTTAATTCTGCCTGCACGTGTGTCTGTGTGTGTGCATGGCCTGTGTATTCCGAGTGCGTGGATACAAATACACGGAGAAACACATATGTATAAGTATTAATGAGTAATATCTCCACAAAGAAAATACATTCCAGCAACATACTTTCACCCCAAGAAACTTTATCGGAGAAATAGAAATAGAGATGTTTCCAGGACACAGATTCCCTTCTCCACTCTGCCTTTCTAATTCTCTCTTCTGTCTTTGAAGCAGACACATTTTCCAAACTTTAATTCCAAGCAGGGAAGTCCCCGGCATCACTTTGAATAGTTTTCCACCGAGGGTCGTGGAATCTGTACGACACCCTCATCTGCAGAGGTCTTCCCTCTGCAGAGCAGCTATGTGAGCCGTCCCATGCGCCACCCGGCTTATGTGGGCGTGGCTTCCTCTACTTCAGCTTCAACCGATATTGTTGAAAAGCTTGGGACTTCTCCAAACACACATATGCTGAGCGCAAGTGGGCTAAAATGAAGTTCGTTTGTTGTTTTAAAGAAAAGATGTACTAAGCACAGTACTAGGTACTTTCATGTGTGCTATGTCATTTGTGGCCAGAATGTTTCTAAACCGAGGTATCAGCACACATCACAAAAGATTTCTTTACTTCCTCTGGGAAAAAACATGGTTTTGCCTCAATATATTACTAAGAAATTGTTACACAATAAAAGAAAAAAAAAGCGTACATAACCAAAGTTTGTCCCTAGGCCAATTTTGTATTTCCTTTCAAATACATTCTTACTTCTCAAAGGTCTCGAACTTTAAACTATAAGTTCATCTCAATCAAGTTCTCATTTTTAAGGTCAAATGGGACAGATCTTCCAGAAAGGTCAGCTCCAGTCTTACCTGAAGCTGGTAGAAAAAGGTTAGCAATCAAAAGCTCTGTTTAGGTTTAAATCTGGACAAAGCAAGGTATAACTCAGTGCCAGTTTAGCCTAGGAATCTGGAACAAAGATAAAGCCATGGTATTCCCATAGTAGATTTGAAAAAATGGGAAGTTCAATAGTGTTCATTAACTGGTGAACTAACTCATTTTATTAGTTGTAAAAATGTATATAACTCAATTGTGGCTGTTATTTTAAATTAACCATATGATATCTTATTTATACAGAAGACCGTATAGTGCCTGACTCTACCACCTCCTATTTTTCCTGTAAAATGGAAATAACAATATACAGCAACACAACTCCAGTGAACACTGTTCTTATAAACTGTGCAGTGCTCACCCACAGGCAGCAGCTCTGACAGTATGCACCTCACTCAAAATGTTATCTCGATCGTTCTACAGCATAGCAAACCTCAAATATTTAGCACATTATAAGGTTTCAATAATGTTAGATTTTTTCAGACTCAAAACTTGAAAATTAAATGTTAAGATTAATAAACAGACTTGGCAACAGCAACTATGTATTGCTTTATAAACTAATTTAGCATATTATTTGTGCATAAAGTAAAACAACTTCTTATAAACAAACAAAATATAAAATTCATAGTGATATCCACTGAAAATGAAAGATGTATGGGTAAACCTAAAAAAAGGAACTAAAGTATTAATAAAAGAAGTTCACCAAAATGTTGATTGAATAATGTTTCAGGATCATTCTCATCTTAGGCATTTTAATATGAAACTTAAGCCCTGAAATTATAAATTATATCTGGATGTAAATTTACATTTATAGTAGAAATTGCTGCATTAGGGAAATTTTTATGTACATATAAAAAAATCAAATACAAGAATTTAAGTACTATTAAAAGAAATTATTTGCTATCATTGACCTTGCTTAGCAAACATGGAATAAGATTTAGAAATAACTGTTTAACATAAAATAGGTAGATGTTTTATTAAGATACTTTAAAATTTATTTAACAGAAATTTTCAGAATTACTTTTGCACAAGCCAATATTAAGTTTTATTTGTATAATGCTGGTTCAGTTCTCCAAGTCATTTTGAAATTTTATTGTTTCCTGTCCTGACTCTATAGAAGCCCTCGCTTTGTCATCCATTGGCTATTCAGCATGTAATTTATTGTTTTCCTTTCTGCCCACTATATTGATATTATTGCTTTTTCTTAAAGCTCTAAGTCACTTCTGATCCCAACATATGGTTTCTGTAGTTACCACTGACATCTAAACCATCTGTGCACTCACCCCTTGAGCAAAAACAGCACTGAACAGAGTAGCAACCCACTTCTGTGATTATCATCTTGTATATGCACATTCTCTGACTACAACTCCTAACACATGGCATAGGAAAGAGACGAAATTGCCACTAAGTAATTGTGTTCCTGTGCCGTCATACCTATTGTTTGTTCAGGGCTTACAACCAAGTGGAATTGCGGTACATTCATACACATTCATCTGATCTCACAACAACCCAACCCGACAACCATTACTACCCCTATTTTATAGGTAACCATTACTATCCTTATTTTATAGGTAAAGGAATAAAGGCTCAGAGAGACTCAGGAATTTGTCTAAGGCTACCCAGCAGCTAGAGAAGAGCCAAGACGTGAACTCAAACATGGACTGCAGAACAATATTCTTGACCCTAAGATATCAATCAAATCCAAAGTTCTAGCTGCACTCTCGAAATGCCATGCTTATTTCAGCCAAACAGGCAGAGAAATGTCAGCGATGTCCATGCCTAGCCAACCTGTGAGGCTGGTGCTTTGTCTCCCTGTGTGAGCTAACTTTTGAGTGTGATCAGAATGCAGCATTTTAAACACATCAGAGTTGCCAAGAAAGGGGCAGATACACCCCTTCGTCTGCAACTCACATTTTTAAAAAATGCTTCTTGATCCACCAAAAGGAAATACGTATGATTTTATTTGATTAAAACTCGTAAACTATGATCAAAGGCAATTCATACCTCCCTTGTTTGGCACTTAAGTAATCTGATTCAAATGTTCATTTTACAACTTGTACTTCTTTACCTTTCGAGTATATCAGTTATTAAATACAGAGCTCCTTAGCAAAGTTTACTTTGTCCAAACTCAATTAAGCCTTCACTCCTTTATTTTTTTCTTCCTTTGAGGCAAAATGAGGATGCTTGGGGGAGACCCCACCCTATTACCTGCAAGGGGGGATACGTTGGCCTGTGTTCACATCACACTTTGGCACCAAAACGGTGCAAGCGAAGAACATGAGGAACTTGTAACAGTTGGTTTGAACGAGTGCAGGGAAGAGAGAGGACTCCCAGCTGATGGAGGCTTCCTTTTGAGTCCTGTGTCCAAGGTAATTGGGGTAACTTGTATAGTTGTAGGGCAAGTTCATGCAGAGTTCCAGAGTAATTGGTTCACACTGACCTAATAAAAAACACACAAATACATATTCTTAAAAATTTCACATGTAAAAACCACACGTTTAAACTTTATAAACTCGAAGTCTATTTTACTCTCTTTAGAAGAGCTAAGACTAGAATGCAAGTAGTATGTAACTTTTTGTTTTGTGGACTTCAAAAAATAAATGTGTTGGTTAGCGAAGTGCCCCAGCAAACTACGACGCATTTCTGTCTATGTGGCCGCCAGCACGATGCCCAGATCATGCTTTAGAAGGTCCATTCCCGTTTTTCCCCTTAGCTCAACTTATCTGAAAATGACTATCTTTCATCACTCCTTTTATTCACTTCAATTCACCTTCTTTTTCTGATCTATTCCTTATGTCCAAAATAGTGTAGCCCTATCATCTTCATTGCCATTAAAAAAATAGGAGTTTGTTTAAATAGGCAATTAGATAACTTCCGTCTCTGTTTTACTGTTGATCAATAGATTTCTATATAAAGCTACAAGATTTCAAGGCAAGAGGCTGAGATCTGTTGGATACTGAGATAAAACCCAAGTCCCTTAGCTTGGAGCTCAAGGCTATTTCACACGTCAACCACAGCCTAATTTTCCAGCCTCATTGTCTACGACTCTCCCATCAACGGTATCTCTGCTGCCGTGAGTGAATTTCGTTGCCTTGCGATTACCAGATATGGGAATTGCATGTCTTTGTGAACACTGTTTGCTCCTCTCTTACCTCCTTCTTTTCTTAACATGCTTGCCGTCATTCCCCCGAATGCGGCCATGATCCTAGCTGCCAGGTGCACGCAGCACACCTGCCTTGGCCTGGAGGACTCAGCACTACCTCTTCCAGAAAACCTTTCTGGCCAACCTCTCTTCCCATGACTGCTCCCAGAATGAGTCTCTTCTGATCGCCGCGCGCCTTGGGCACATTCCTGCCATACGCTCATTGCACTCTGATGTCTTCTTTATTTACTTACTTGCTTCCCCCACACAATTCTGAGATTTTGGGGAATCGAGACTTTCTCTCTTAATCTCAAAGTCTGTCAGTAGCACCGTGCCAGAATAAAGGGAGGAAAAGAGGGAGAAAAATGTGTCAGGAACTGTCTCCCCTAGGCACTGCGAAGGTAAAAATAATGAAAAATATAGTCCTTGCCATTGAAGAACTGCATGGTCTCTAAAGGTAAACAGACACATGTGCTGGTAGCTGTATTAGAATGTGAACAGGCTAGGATGGAGTTTGTCATGGACTGAATGTTTGTGTTCCCCTCCCGCAATTCATATGTTGAAACCCCAACCCCCAATATGATGGTATTTGGAGATTTGGGAGGTAATTAGCTTTCGATGAGGTCTAGATGAGGGTGGAGCCCCCAAGATGGGATTAGTGTCTTTATAAGAAGAGGGAGACTAAAGCTCTTGCTCTCGCAGTCATGGAAGGCCACAGCTAGAGAGCGCTGTCTGCAAACCAGGAAGCAAGCTGTTACCTGGCACCAGACACCGCACCTGCCAGCACCTTGATCATGGACTTCCAGCCTTCGGAACCGTGAGAAACAAATGTCTGTTGTTTAAACCATCCAGTCTATGGTATTTCGTTGTCACCACCTGACCTTACTAAGACGGCAGCATGGAACAAAATGTTACAAGCCCGAAAGGACAACAGAGCACGAGCGACTCAGGAAGCCAAGGAAAAACGGGGTCTGAGCAAGTTTGGGGGAATGCGGTAAAGAGGCTCCCTGGTCGCCCTCTGTTCACAGGTGTGCCACATTCCCCCAGGTGAGAGAGGTAACCGAGAAAGTGTCTTAGTAAAATCAGCCCAGACAGACCAAAGACTCCATGCCTTATTAGGAGTGATTATTCAACTTAAATTTAATTATTTGGCTAAGAAGTGGTATCCATGCACGTAGATTAGCAATAAGGACTTGGGTGAGATATTAAAACAGCTGTGGGACTATCTATTAATTTAAAGAATGTCAGGGCTTCACAGATAGTATATTTACAAGGAGTCTGATGCTGGCCAGATAAAAAATATTACAGACAAAATGTAAGATGGCTCTCAGTTTCCCAAGGAAGACACAACACTGTAAAGTTGGCATCATCTTGAGCATGAGTCAGGGTGGAGAGAAGTGGGGGATTGGTTCAGTTTATCATTTCTTTTGCTTGGTGAAGGAGAAATGTTACAGACTAAGTGCGTTCCCCCCAAATTCATATGTGGAAATCCTAGCCCCTACCGTGGTGGTATTAGGAGGTGGGAACTTTGGGAGATATTTGGGTCATGAGGGGGTCCTGCGTGAACGCGATGAGTGCCCTTATAAAAGGAAGCCCAGAGAGTGCTTTTCCCGCTTTCCAGGAGGTGAGGACTCAGTGAGAAGTCGGCCATCTGCAGCCCAGACCCTGACCATGCTGGCACCCTTGGACTTCCCGCCTCCGGAACTGCAAGAAATAAATGTCTGTGGTTTATCAGCCACCCACTCTATGGCAATTTGTTATAGCAGCCTGAACCAAGACAAGGGGTAACACTGACATATTTTGCTCTAAGATTACAAAAATGCACGTTCCTCATAACAATAAAAGCAATTCAAAGATGCGTAAAGTTCATCATTTCCCTGTTGCCCTTTCTCTCACCTTCCCTCAAAGCCAAAGACAGCTTTGAATCCTTCCGTGTCTTCCCCCGGCTCATATTTAGACGGACAAGTATTGACAGAGGTTAGACAGGTTTGTGTTTGCTTTTTGCCAAAGTAGAATTATACTATTATGCTGTTCCTATGACTCTTCAACTTGCATTTGTTGCTTCATTATCATCTTACAAGTCAGTAGACACAGTTCTGACTCTATGCTTTGTCCCCTAATTTCTTTAATAAGCTTATAATCTTATAAAAATGGAATCACTTATATAGATTTTTGATAGTCTTTTTTCCCCCTTGTATAATACATGCTTTTCCCTTCTCCCTCTTCCTTTATCACCTTATCAAGGTTTTTTATTGGTGTGTTCCATTTATATGATTAATAGAACACAGCACATGGATAATGTTTTTCTCTTTTGATATATGGAGAATGTATCACTTTGATTTGGGATAAGATATAACTTTTAAGTGTTCCAGAGCCAAGGAAGATGAAAAGATTAAGTAACGATCATATATTATTCTGGAGATCTTTATTGAATGCAGTAAGGTTGATTGGCTCTTGTATTTCTTAATAAGGCATTCTTCACAGAGTGCTAAGCATGACAAACTCTTGATATATCTGTCAACCCAAATCCTGTGATTTATGATATCAATAAACTTTTTTATCTTAAATATTAAGCTCACTCATGATTCTGATTTGCGATAGCCACTAGGGGGCAGTCGCATCACAGACATGTAAGGATGTTTCGACGCCGCCACAGAACGGTGTTTTCCACTAGAGTTTGCTGTAGTGCTCAGCACCACGTCCTGAACACAGATGACACTGAGTAAGTATCTATCCAAAAATAATCCTGATCGAGTCTCAATGACATTCCCCCTTTCAAAGTCTGAAACAAGACTTGTTCAATGCAACCGAAAGAGGAGACCGTTTGCTAAATGATGTTACATCCTTGCCATGATGCAACACTCTGAAGTCACCAGAAATCATGTATTGAACGATGGTCATTTTCATGAAAAATATAACTTCTATACATCCAGCAGCATGTATAATATTCAAAGATTCATCTTTGCCTCAAACTTTAAATTCGTCTGTCACATTATTATTTTTAACAGTTCGATGAGCTATTATAAAGCGAACACACTGTAATTAACACCCAGATCAAGAAATTGAACTTTGGTGGACACCCCAGAAACTCCTCCGTATACCCCGTCTTATCTCAGCCTCCTCCTTTGCCCCCATAGTAACTAATGAGTTTTATAGTTATCACTTCTTTGCTCTTCTTTGTGGTTTTATTACCTAAGTGTGCACTGCCCCACACACTATAGCTTAGGCTTGCCCATTTCTTGAAACTTGTCTTGCCTTTAAGTCTCTTATAATCTCTGGGTTCCCCTTCTATCCCTTTGTTTTTCTTTATAATTTAACTATCAAAGGACCTAGAGATTTGATGTGTAGAGTGTACCAGAGTTTGGGTTTGCTGGTGAGGTGACATATGGTCCCATCCTATTTCCTGAACCTTGCCAGCTGAAGTCAGAGCACTGATGAGTCTATCCCTTTGGCAAGACTAGAGGTGGCCGTGGTGTTCTTTCATCAGAAGCCACAAAACATCCTATTTCCCTCTCTTTGTGATGTCAGCAGCGGCAGGCACTCCACGCGTTGACTCATTAATTCACTGTGTTATCGAATGGTCATATTCTAATTCAATCATTTACTCTTCACTTATCATTCAAAATGCTTTTATAAAGAGATCATTCACCTCCTCTACCATTTGTTCGCAAGGACAAAAGTCCTTCACCAGCACGGTGTTTGGCTTCTCTTACCACACCCCTTATACTGTTTGTTGCTTCCAACCAGAGCTTGCAAAGAGAGGGCAGGGAATTCACAGACCGGTGGGGACTTATTCAGAAAGCAAACCTGTTCATTCCTTCCTCGGCGTTGAACAAGTGCCGCATACAGTAGAGGAAAGAATGCACGAGTGAACGCATAGAAATAAAGGTTGATATGACACTGTTGGGAGACTTCAGAGAGGGCCTGGGGCATGACAGCCATACCTGGCCATGGCCAATGTGGGCACAGGGAGGTGTGACAGACATGCCCGGGAGTTGCTCTTGTGGCCAGGTCCCCCCAGCTGTCTGGATGCTCAGTACAGGGGAAAGTGATGGGTTAGTCCCTCCACACCTGAGTGAGGGGAAACGCATTCCTGCTCCTATTCCCTAAGGCAAGGATATGTCTGTATTTTGCTTCCCAGCAGGGCACAAAGATCTGACAGATACTGGGGTGCAACTGAACGCTGTTCCTTGGAAAAACTACGTATTATCATAGATAGGGGTTTTAGACTTTTAAAAAAAATTATAGGTACTTCTGGGGATCTAAAATAAGCCATGGACCTTCTCCACTGAAAAATACAATTAGGAAAATGGAAACTTTTCACATTTGATTGCAGAGGTGTCACATACCTCTGCTGCCTAGTCACGAATAGGCCACGAGAGGAAGAATTCTCAACCTTTGCCACACACTGCAGTCACCTGGGGAATTTAGAAACACCGATGACTGGGTCTTCAGGGACCATTAGAAAGTCACATAATATTTTATGGCATTGCAAGAACCAGTGTCTTCGAGGACGAGAAACCCAGCAACTCCAGTGGGGAGCTGGCTCCACCAGACGGAATAACCACATTCTCCAAACTCACGTTCTCCATTGGCTTCAAGCCAGAGTAAAAGGGTGCTGCTCAGGTGTGCTCCCATGCTAAGTAATAATAATCTCTGCTAGTGGTAAACCTCTTCCAATAATTACTTGCATTTTCAAGTGTGTGAAGAGTTCTCTGAAAGGACATGCTACTTGCTCATCTTTACAGAGAACCGAACACACGTACACCTCAAGTTCTTTGAAAGAACAAGAGTAAAATCTTGACTTTCAACCAGAAGCTAGGCACATACACTGTTTTTAATAACACAGAAGGAATGAGGAACCAGTGCCTAGCCCAGTGCCTGGCACTCAGAAAAGGGCACGTTCAAATATTTTCTGATGTATGGAAAGAACCCAGCAGGAATATATATAATGAATGGGGAAGCTGGCGAGACAGACTCCAGGGAAACCAAACATATTTAAAGAACATAAAAAGAAAACTAATGTAGTATATATGAGTGGGAAGATGACAGTATGTTCTTCCATACTGAAAAATTATCTCTAGGAAGCTAGGAGTGTGTCTCCCTTCTGTGCTTATCCCAGCGCTGGGATATCATGCACACACTATAAATATTGGTCGACTATAAGAGCCAGAGTGATGTGGTTGCCCTTCCTACAACTTCTTTTTTGGACAGGTGACAATATATATTTTTAAATTCTGAAATATTTCAACTGTTGAGAAAATAGGACAGCATACACCCAGTTACTCCTTACCCAAATCTGACACTGGCTAACACCGTCCTTTCTGGTTTTTTGAGTCTAGCAGTAAGCGCCATTCCATGTCAAACAACCCTCAAAACTTTAATAACAAACACATGTCTTTGAGATGACACCGTTACTGTTCAAAATTATTCAACCCAAAGAGAAAGTGAAGTAAAGAAACAGTTCTGAAAAAGTTCCCCAGTGGATTAAGAGATGAGCAAAATGAAACAACGGAAAAAAATGGCCCCAGAATATATAGCTATACATTTATATGTATATGAATATGCATATATTAGTAAGAGAGAAAGAGAAATCTCTATATACTTAAATCATTTTAAAGGGAGTAAAAATGGCAGTTTGAATGTGTCTTTTTTGTGGCCAGACCAGGACCTGTTCTTTCACATGGGAACCAGAGGAGGGCTGGGCTTTGTGTTTTTAGCCATGAAAACGAAAGTCCCATCAGTCTGGGTTTGTAATTGGCTGCCTGCCCAGATCCTCTCTTCCCCACACACTTGTTCCACTCTCCCCTGCCCTTACAGTTAGAGGAGCACTCCTATAAGCTCTACACCGACCCAGAAAAGTCACCAGGTAAAACTAGGACCTGAAAACTGCAGCAAATTTAAGGATCTGAGCCCGTCAGCCTCCCAGCTTCCAAAAGCCTTCAACTGAGAGGACGTGTGTTATGATATTCTCCAGCCAAATGAAAGCTGACTGACCTGATTCTAAAGTTCTAGCCCCAAGCTGAAGGTGGGACAAAAAGTTCATTAGAAAAGGTGAAAGAGCCAGGCGTGGTGGCAGTCCCAGCTGGGCTGAGGCAGGAGGATGGCTTGAGCCCAGGAGTTGGAGGCTTCAGGGAGCTGTGATCACAGCACTGCACTCCAGCCTGGGTGACAGAGCGAAACCCTATCTCTAAATATAAAAGTAAAAAAAAAAAATTTTAAATGTGAAAGGAGTAAGTATAATATAAAAGCAGAGCCCAGGAGTAAGAAATCATTACTAGAAATCTGTCATTGGGGATCTTCTGACTCATTTAAAATTCCCTCTGGGGGTCGTCTATACCGTGTTCTTTCACTTCTGCCCGTTCTGTTTTCCTCAAATAATTCCTCCTGCTGGAAGCCAATCTAGAGCCCCCTGTTTACAGCATTTGGAGTTGTTACACTGTCACCAAAACTCATCAGAGTTCCTGGAAAGGTGAGAATAAATGTTATTAAAAGAACAGACCGCCAGAGTTTTATGTGGCTATTTCAATGAACTTCGTATTTGCTTCTTGGATAAAGTTTCCATTTTTGGAGCTGTGCTTTAGAAAGGAAGAAAGCTAGCATCTGCCTGCAGATGGGGCCAAGGAAATAATATATAGGAACTTATGTCGAGTTGGACGTGATGGTAATGATATCAAGCAAGGTGGATTTATAGCCCATTCACAATGACACATTTGTTTCCGATTTAAGTTAATTAAGACCATTTTGTTTCTTTTCTGCTACCACATGCAACCTTTAAAAAAGAAAAAGAAGACAGGGTATACTTTTTTGGAGGGATTCCAGACTTCACCATCGTAATGTCAACGTGGAAGAAAAATACTGAACGCACGTCCTGCCGCGGTGATTGCATTTGTCAGCTGTTGTACTTACTACAGTTATTCGGACTGCTGCTCGGGTCACAGAGAGAGCTCCCACCGCAGGAATCAAGGCAGGAACCGTGGGGGCATCTTTGGTCTCCTTCCCGACATGGGGTCTGACCTACAGAGGGAAGAAAAGGAAAGACAATGGCTTTCATCATCCGCAAATTCCTTACCCTGAGATCTAAAAGATAAGAGTGTCTGGTGGAGCTGAGGAATGGCACAACTTTAATTTCCTTTCAATTTCTCCAAAAATGTCAAACACATGTTCAAGAGGTACTTTCTGGATTCATTTTCCTGGCAACTAAATGCAATCCAGGTATTCTGAAGTAGGAATGAAGAAATAAGAGACAGACTACACTAAAAAAAATAGGTGGTTGTTGGTTTTCAAGGAAAAAATAGTGCTTGCTTTTTACATGGGCACCTACGATTGATTACAAAATAAAATTCAAGTGGTTTGAGGGAGTGAGAGCAATGTAAGGATCTTGGAATTCTGGATATTAAATTAAATTAACTCATTTTCTCCCAACTGTAGTCTTCCCTCTAGGGAAAATGCTTTTCTTAATAATAAAGAGGGCATCAATACGCATACAATAGGGATACCTCCTCTTGACACAAGTCTTATGCAGCTGTTATCCGTATTGTCGATGTATCCTTGGAAATTATCGTTGACCTAGCTGTAACGACTTGAGAACCGGGTTTCTTGTTTCCAAGTGAATGACAACAGTAACATCAGCCTTTGCCCTAATGGCTTTTCCTTAAGGTATGTAGAGAGGAAACTGCTTTTCCCATTGATTTTCTGGTCATTTGTAGATTAAATGGATAAGGCAATAAATTACTGCCCATTCTCTTTCTCTCACCCATTGTGGTCAATTACTTTCAGACATGTCATCTGAAATCCTGACAATCTTACAAGGCACTTTTAAATGTAAATAACAGGATGCATATAT